ATTATGCATATTTTTAAGGCTTCTGATGCATGTGGCCAAACTGCCCTCTAGAAAAGTTGGGCTGCATGAAACGGAGTCTTGGTCATCTGGGCCTGTTCACTGTTTCCAGTCTCACACTTGGAGGAGGGGTGGCAGAGGAGGGAAGGGGACAAGTTCCAGCCCAGCCAGAGGTGACCCAATGAGACCTGCCCCACCTCTCAACGTCCCCATGCCCTCCCTGCAGGTACGCAGCCCGGGACAAGAACAAGCTGACCCAGCTGGGCATCACCCATGTCGTGAATGTTGCTGCGGGCAAGTTTCAAGTGGACACAGGTGCCAAGTTTTACCGCGGAATGCCCTTGGAGTACTATGGCATTGAGGCTGATGACAACCCCTTCTTCGACCTCAGTGTCTACTTTCTGCCTGTTGCTCGATACATCCGGACTGCCCTCAGTGTTCCTAAAGGTGAACTGCTGGGGAAGACACTGGGGTGGAGGTGGGGGTAGGGATGGTGGTGAGGGGGTGGGATCTGGGGCACTTTTCCCAGTAGCACTGGTGGGTGGGGTGTCCAGAGTTACAAACATCTTCAACAACCCTCCCACCCCATGGAGCAAATAGCTACTACCATTTAGTGAGTGTTCCCTTCAGGGGACCAACAATCACAGACATAGCTAAGGTCTGATGTGGTTCAGGGTAACCATCCCTCAGTAAGAGGTCTGGCATTGGGCAGAAGGTACACAACCTAGCAAAGGCTAAACAGACCCCTCTAAGATGAGGCCTTGGCATAGGGCTGCAGGGATAGAGGAGAGGGCAGAACTAAGGGGGTAAGGGACACTCCCTCTAATCAACCACAAATCCAGGGGACTCCAGGAATACTGTCCCGTCTCCCACCCTTTACAACAGGATGGCAGAGTTGGAAAGGATGCCAGAAGAAGCACCTTGGACCTGGAGAAGGGAATCCCAGCTGTTAACCTTAGCTGGGCCACTAACTTGCTCCATGACCTTAAGCCAGTCCCTTTCCCTCTCTGGGCCTCAGCTGCCCCATCTGACTGTAAGAACATTGTCAGTATTCCAGGGTGCTGTGATAGGTGGGCTGAAGGATGGCCAGAAGCATCTCCAATTCCCGCTGGGGTGGGTGGTCATTGTGAGGGCAGGTAGCTGATGCTAGGTTGGGTCTTTCCAACAGGCCGTGTGCTGGTACACTGTGCTATGGGGGTGAGCCGCTCTGCTACAGTTGTCCTGGCCTTCCTCATGATCTGCGAGAACATGACGCTGGTGGAGGCCATCCAGACGGTGCAGGCCCACCGTGATATCTGCCCCAACTCGGGCTTCCTCCAGCAGCTCCAGGTTCTGGACAACCGACTGGGGCGGGAGACGGGGCGGCTCTGACTTGGTGAGCAGCCAGAAGCCCTGACCTTCTGGCCAGCATGGCCCAACCCAACCAGCCTGGCCCTGGGGACAGCAGCCTCTGCTGTTTCCAGTGACCTTGAGGTATAAATAGCAAGTGGGGGCTTAGCTGAGGCAGAAGCAGGGAGAATTGAGTGGTGACCTTTAGCAGGTGGATTTCCCTGACCCAATCCAAAGATTCTTTATACAAAAGAGAGTTCAGTCTGTCTCTATAATAAAATGTTCATCATAATAAAGACAGGAGATCTTCTGGTGGTTTGTGGGGGTGGTGGCTTACTTTCAGGATGGCCACGAGAGTCCAGAAGGCTTGCCAGCTCTGACTTAGCATGTTGGCAGCCTACAGAGAGAGTCTGAGTCCATGTTGAGTTTTCGTGAAGAAAGAGGGCACATGAGGATCAATTAGTAGTATCTGCCTTGGGTACAAAAGGGAGGAGTGGGAGTACCAGCGCTGAGAATTAGCTGGCCTTTTCCTCATCTTGTCCTCCTCATATCATCACCCAAGAGCAAGGTTGTCTGAATAAAGACCAAGGTTCAGTCCGTCACCATCCTCCTCCATGCCCACCCCATCAAAAAGCGATCATCAAAACTTGCTGTACAAATAACATCTCTTGAATCTTTTCACTTATGCGTACTTTCAAAAGGACAGACTAAAACAAGCACCAACTGAGAGAAGAGGGTCTAGGGAAGAGACAGCCCAAGAGTCCTGGGTGAAGAATGGTTTTATGAAGCAGCAAAACATTTAGTTCCAAGATTCTTCGTTTTGTGCCCTAATAGCACAATATGAAAAGCCCCAGGTTCCTCAACTGGAGCAAAGTGTCACGGGCTGCTCTCCTCCCACCTCTCAGGCTGCTCCTATTTTAGCCTTGTCTCTTCCAGCTGACCCTTAAGCCTCAAGGTTTCTCATGGTTCTGGCCACTGCCTCTTCTCTTCCTCACAGTTCTCACTCTGCTGGGGGGGTCCCTTTGCCCCCACCCCAGCCTCAGTTCACATCTCTAGGCTGATGACTCCTCTGAGGCAGCCCGGTTTGCTCTCCTGAGCTTCAAACCTCTGTATCCCACTGCCCACCTCTATGTGAATACTGCACTTGAATTTCAAACTCAGCTGAGCTTTTCCGCAGCCTCACCCCACCAGCTGAACTCTTCCTCGTTCTTCATTTTCATGAAGAGTTCTGACAGCCACCATTGCTCAAGTCAGTGATGGGTATCATGTCCCCTCCTACAATTAGCCTATTGATTCTACTTCCTCAATACCTTTGGGACCCGCTCACTTAGCTTCATCTTTGTTGTGAGGACCCAAGTTCAAGCCACCCTCACCTCTCACTGGATCCTTGCAGCAGCCTACTATTGGTCTCTCTGCCTCAAGCCCTGCCCCTCCAATCTCCATACACAATCTTACTAAAATGGAAATCTGATCACATCGCCACTCTGCTTACAACCCCCTAAGTACAAACACCTTGACAAAGTATAAAGATGCTTCATTATCTGAGAAACTTCTTGTATCTCTAGCCTTATCTCTTGTAATTCTGTTTCTATACACACTGTGTAATTAAGAAATGGTAGATCCACTTGCAGTTTCCAGAATGCACCACATTCTCTTACCTCTGGCACTTTGAAACATGCTTCAGGTTGTACCACCTGAGTGTACCACCCTCCCCCACTTTCACTGGGGTCTCTATGAGGTCTCAGTTTAGCAGTTACTTTTGGGAAGCCCTCCAAACCTGAGAGAAGTGCTCCTCTTCGAACCACCAAAATGTCCACCCACCTTCTGTGACATCACCTGTCACTCCGAATCATAATTTACTGGTGCCTTATCATTCTCTTCCAACTGGCTGTTTCTGACCAGGCTTCTTCCCATGGTCTCAAAGCTCCCATGGCTCCCACACCCTGGTTATGACCCTGCCCTCAGGCATAGCTCTGTGCTTGTGTGGACCACAACTACAGGTTGGCACCGCTGGCACCAGGTCTCCTCTATGGAGGTCACCAGGGGGAGTGGGTCCCAGCCAGCCCCAGGAGCAGGCCTGCCTCCAGAGGGTACCTTTGCTTTCCCCAGCTCTGCCCGCATGCTCACCACTTGGGCACCCTGACGCCTTCTTCCCAGCACATCTTGTTCTTCTTTGGTCACCTTGACCCTGCCTCCTCACTCCCTACCAACACTCTCTGGGGCCAGCTCTGCCTTCTGGGCAGAGGGGTCCTTGCCCTTCTCTGCCATCTTGCCTATTTCCAGATGGCAAGTGCTTTTCCTCTGTACAAATCAGACAAGGTCCCCTCTTGGGAGCAAACCAACCTTTCAGGCATAATTGCTCCTGGGCTTGGTTGAGGAAAAGGTGTCCCTTTCTCCCAAGCAGACGTAGCTCCAGGTCAGTGTGCCCATCTGAGTGAGCTGAGCACAGGCTGTGTTTTAGCCCCTGCTCCTCCTCCTGCAAATCATAAAACTGAGCAAACCTATGCTGCCTTGTCTGAGACATAGGGATTAACACCCCCATTTTAAAATTAAACAACCCAAGGCTCAGAGAAGATGAAACGCGGTTGGAATGTTGCCGCAGGGATGTGGGACCTCTGGGCTCTGGCCTCAAAGGGCAGGAACTGCCCTGCCAGCTCCCTGCTCTCCTCCCTACAGCACTTGGTCCCATTAATGGCTGGTGGTTGGCTACCTCAGGTGCTCTCTGAGCCTTTTCCAAAGGGTAAACATACATCCCAGCTGGAGGATTGCAGAAGGGCTGCGGCTGCTGTGCCCAACCAGGCAGGGCACCTCTCCAATCTGGGGATGGAAAACTGTTCTCGATTCATTCTCAGGTTGGTGGGGCCTATAATTCTCCAGAGTAGACAAAGCTAGTCCCTGCTCAGTAGACCAGCCTGCCCACCCCCAATTCCCGTGGATCCCCCCTCTGCCTGACAACTCAGCCCTTGTTGCTATTTCTTGCTAATGCACTGTCAGCGGGACCCAAAATAGTGGTTCCAGAAGTCAGTCTCTAAATCAACATCCGGGTCTATGAATGTGGGCAGCCTGTCCCTGCTAACTAGGCTGGGGTGCCCAGAATCTAGGATAGAACCACACCCTGGGGCTTGAGTTACAGCAGGTCATCTTGGAGCTCTGAGGCTTGGGCTCAGAAAATGGGGCTGCAGGGAAAAGAGGGAGCGAAGCCCTGACGAGGCATGTGGTAGGAAGGCCAAACATTCCCCAGAGCATCTGAGGAAACAGAGGCGGAGCTCCAGACTGGCACCTCCATCAGGAAGACTTCCTGCCTGCCACACTTGCCCTGGGAAGTCTATGATGATGCATCTGCTCCCCTTCTTCTCTAGGGCAGTGGGGATCTTATTAAGAGCATGACTTTGGAGCTGGGTTCAAATCCTACTTTGCCCTTTACCTGAGGTGTCTGACCTCAGTTAATCTCTCCATACCTCATTTTCCTCACCTGTGATGTAAGAGTAATAATAGCCAACATATAGGATTATTGTAAGGATCACATGGGGAATATAGAAAGTGCTTTGTGCAACAGGTGGAATGCTCCCCAAAATGATAGCTCCCCAAAATGAGAGCCACAGTACATAGTACATGGGCCCCTGGCATCATCTGCTACACAGAACAGCATGTTGGACTAAAAGCAGTGCTCTCAGTGTTGAATGAATGATTAAAAATTAGCTAACAGGGACGCCTGGGTGGCTTAGCTGGTTAAGCTCTTGATCTTGGCTCAGGTCGTGATCTCACAGATTGTGGGATCGAGCCCCGTGTTGGGCTCTGCACTGACAGTGCAAAGCTTGCTTGGAATTCTCTCTCTCTCCTTCTCTCTCTGCCCCTCTCCCACTCGTGCACACATACACTCTCTCAAAATAAATAAATAAACTTAAATGAAAAATAAAAATTAGCTAACCTAAATGCCACATAGTATTTTGGAACAAAAGGACATAAGTAAGAAAACTGGTAGAATCTGGGAAAAGTTTGCAGTTAATAGTGTTACGACAATTTTAATCTTTTTGATAAATATGTCATGGTTATGTAAGAGGTTAACAGAGGAAGCTGGGTGGTGGGTATACAAGAAACGTCTCCATTATCTTTATAACTCTATACATGTAAAATTATTTCAAAATAAAAAGTTAAAAAAACTTGCTGACTGTTACGGACTGCTTTGCATATGTCAAGCACTATGCTAAATAAATGAGACATCATTTATTTTTCCAGTTTCATCCATAGGGTTTTATTTCTTTATGAAAAAAAAACACATATCAAATATAACAAAATGTTAAGATTTGACCATATTGAGTTGTGGGAATGTAGGTGCTTATTACATCTTTTCTTTTGTATTCTTAAAATATTTCCTAATTTAAAACATCAAAAATAAATTAACTTTTAAACTTAGAAACATCCTATTCTATATATTTAGGTTCTGAAACCCATATCAAATGGATTTTAGGACGTATTCTGAATTAAAATGGTATCATTTTTATTGGCTTCTGACCTAAAATACTGCAAACTCACATAATTTTGTTTCAAGAGAAAGGTAATGATGACGTTTCATTGTGATCAAAGAGGAGCTAAGCCATTAAGTCAAACTATATATTATTTCATCCAATCCTCACCACCCTATGGGGTAGGTTCCTAACATCACCCCCATTGTACAGATGAGAACACAGGTGTATAGAGGTTAGGCCTGTGAGTCCCTAACTTTATTTTTTTTTCAATGTTTATTTATTTATTTTGAGAGAGAGAGAGTGCATGCACAAGCACACACGAGTGAGTGGGCAAGGGGCAGAGAGATAAGGAGAGAGAGAATCTCCAGCAGGCTCTGGGCTATCAGCGCAGAGCTGGACGTGGGGCTCTATCTCATGAACCATGAGATCATGACCTGAGCTGAAATCAAGAGTAGGATGCTTAACCTACTGAGTCACCAGGTGCCCCAGGAGGACCCCTAATTTTAATTGAGAGCTTAGTATGTATCATTGCACTAGTCAGGGTAGGCTAATGGCTCTGACAAGCAAAACTTTATT